GTCTGGGGGCCCCATCAATACATACTGAGTGCTGTGGTAAAAACAAATACAAAGTTGGTAATCACAGCTGCGTGTGAGCAATTTTATGAACAACAGAAATAAATACTAAGTTATGGATATTAAGTCGCATCTGATTCACAACGGGCAGTCATTTAAAACAATACTCAATAATATTTGACAAATATCTTGAATTGAAAAAAGAAGCAGTGAAAAAAAACTCCTATATGACAAATCAGAAGCAGAATTCAGCGAACCCCTGATTTCAAAACAAATGTAGGAGAAAAAATTGCTTCTGTCATTAAAATTTATTTAGATGCGGTCATGATGCTGATGGGAATATGTCAGGGTTTGGAACGTTCCTATTCGTGGGGTGAGACAGGAAGAGCCAATTACGGACTATAGGGTCAGCGGGGACACACGGGTTCGAACCGAAGCAGCGAAAACAGTAGATGTCACGAGAACATCAGCGAAATACCGAAGATGCGATCAAGCAGAATGCAGAGTCCCCCGACGAGCTGGCGAAAACATAAAAACCCACAACGATTATCAACAGAGATCTCAAAGACCACCGTTATGGTTGAAACACGGAGAACGGTTGGCGACATTTCGAAATGGAGCTTGACTCTGCAGGGGATAATGTGAACAAATTTAGAAACAAAGTTAACAAGTCCTTAACTAATGCTGCACATGCCTGTAGCAGTCCTTTGACTGATGCTTTATGCCCCGTCAACTACCACATCTAGTTTCCTACCCCCGAGGCATTAACTTGGAGAAGCCACTGTCACATCCGAAAGGAAAAAACGCCAAAGTCGACTGAGCACTTGGCTTCCCAATTCAAATAAGAAACGCGCTTAAACTACCATGCTGTGATTTTTACTGACGGAGGATGAGGAAATTATAGGCAGGACTTCCTGTCAGGCTTGAATAAACTTAGACTCATGTGAATTGCGGCAGGGCCTCTATAGTTGAAACCTTAACCCATACGGAGCCAGGAGTCAGGTTTTTTGAGTAACAAGAAGACTATTAGCCGCACGCCCAACTTCTTTAGCCTCCCTCACTCTGAGCAGTGGAACGCATTACAAAGATCATGGATCATTTCTTGCAACAGCATATAGGCCAAAACCGACCCGGTAGCAGCCTTCCAAACACATGCTCAAACTTTATGACTAGAAATACTCAGATAATAAATACTGAGCTACTTATTGCCGACATTCAGAGATACACTAAGAAGGTGGCAAGTCGGTAGCTGTGGCGCCTTTTTGATAGAATACATGGGTGCCCACTACTTAGTTATAATAAGTAGAAGGTCGTCCAAATTCCTGCAAAGCTAATGTAATAAACGGACTTAAATAAGAGTAAGGATGTGAAGTCAAAGATAGGGTTAAGCATAAACAAGAAATAGACCATATGGATGACGGAGACAATGACGGACACGATGATAGGAAAAT